TATGCATAATAATCTTTTAAGTAGCTAGGTGGATGTCTTTTCCTTTGTATTCTAGTTAAAGTATCTTTGGGTGGAGGCTTTTTTATTATTTGCTCTTGTAGTTGTTTATTTTTATTTTCCTTAGTAATTTCAAATAGTTCAACTATTTTCTCAATTTTATTTAAGTCATCGTCAAAGAAAAATGCATATCTACTTTCAATGACTCTCACTAATCCATCACTATGGTGAATTACAAATCTATAGCCAATAGAATTTTCACAATATCTAATAAAAATACATTTTATTGATTTAGGATCTAATTTCCCTCTATTAGGTCCTAAAATTTTAACATGAGCGAAACTACCCCAAACTTTTAAGTGAGAAAGACTTATTTTTGTACCCCTCCAAATTTCATACGATGTCATTCCTATTGTTCTAGATGGTACTTTATTAAGAATATAAATAGCGGTAAAAATAGTTTCACCCCAAAATGTAGTGCTTAAGTGTGCATAACTAAGCATAGATCTAACCATGTCAAGAAGTGTTCTATTTCTCCTTTCGTCTACACCATTTTGTTGAGGTGTATAATAAATTGTTAATTGATGTGTTATTCCATTTTCTTTACAAAAAGATTTAAAAATTTCAGTCATGTATTCACCACCTCAATCCGTCCTTAATGTTTTAATTTTTCTACCTAGTTGGTTTTCTACTTCTGCCTTAAATTCAATAAATTTTTGTAAGACATCCGCTCTATTTTTTAGTAAATATATATAATCATATCTTGAATAGTCATCGGTAAAAGTAATAAAATATTTCATACCACGATGGGTTTTAACATTTAGAGGACCACAAATATCCGAATGTATTAATTCTAGCAAATCTTTAACTCTTTCTAATTTTTCAAATGGCTTTCTAGTCGTTTTTCCACTTATACAAAGATTCACATGGTTTCAAGTCAAGATCTAAATTTGAAATCAATCCAATGTTAGCCATCTTTTTCATTTTATTATAATTAATATGACCTAATCTCATATGCCATAAAATATAATCAACATTAACATCACAAGAGACATCGATATAAGTAGAAGAAGAACCAATTTTATTATTATCACTAGCAACATTCAACCGGCAAAGACCATCAACTTTAGTATCCCATGCAAGAATACAACTATCTTTACCAATAAAAACTTTAGAAGACTAAAAATGGATTTCAAAACCCATATCATCTAATCGTAGCACAAATAAAAGTTTGCGCCGCATATTAGACACATAAAGTACATTAGTCAAGAGGAGGTTGTTTTGCCTGGGAAACGAAATTCTCATAGTGCCAATTCCAAGCACATCACAGTAAGTATTATTTCTCATGTATAACTTGTGATCACCGATTTTCACCTCCTTTATTTTAACAAAATTATCTCTAGTCTTAGCCACATGCCGAGAAGAGGCATAATCAATCCACCAAGCAAGAGAGTCATAGTCTGCAAGAAGCGACTCAGAAACCACATATACAATGTCTCTTGATTTTTTAAAATTTTGACCATTATTATTTTGTAATGACCGAGCTACCCACAGTTACAATAAGTACCTATTTATTTTTCCTTAAAATTATTATGTCTCTTAAACTTGTTATATTTCTTATTGTTTCTTTTAATGTGTTTGTCTTATCTTGACTTAAGAAAAGATAGAATAGTCGACACATTATTAGATGGGGCACCTGTAACAAATTGGGAAGGTGAGACACTAGAAACTAGATTTGACACATTACTAGTTTTCTTTTTAGCTCTTTTCTCGGCCTCAATGCCTAGTAACATAGGTAACTTTGTCATTTTTAAATCTTGGCCAGACATATTCAAAGAAATCACAACGGACTCTCATGAATTAGGAAGACTATGTAAAACAGTAGAAACTTGCATTTTATCGGGAATTGAGTTGCCTAGAGATGTCAGCTCTTTAGCTATTACCACAAGTTTATTGACATATTCAACAACAAACTCATCCTCTTTCATTAAAATGTCATTATATTTTTCAATCAACTAGTAATGCACCACGTGCATTGCACACGTGAATAATTTTCATATAAAAAATATCAATAAAAAGTATTAAGTATATGTGTATCTGCATTAAATATCATTTCAAGTTTATCAAGATTATATTTTTATTGCTTGTATTATATTATAGAATTTGAAAATATTTTTTGTTTCCAATGATTCATTGTTTTAAGTATAAAAAAAATAAAAATAATTTATTTAAATTTCATTTGATTATGTTTCAACTTATAATTCATTGAATAAAATAAAAATAATTTTTAATATTTTAATCAATGCTTACTATAATTAGTTAGGTCAATAGAGATAAAATATAGGACTAATAACACTTTGGTTCTCTAAAGTTTGCGCTTTTTGTCAGTTTAGTTCTCAGGATATAAATTTTGTCAATTTGGTTTCTAAAATATTTAATTCTTGTTTAAATGGTCCATAATCAGATGGTCCATTAAGTTTTTTGACGAAAATAACTACATATTATTCCGCCAAATAGTATCACGTGGTCACTTCTATAAAGAAAACTTAACAGATTATCTGTATATGAATTTAAACATTAACTAAATATTTTAAGAACCAAATTAACAAAATTGATACAATGAACACCAAACTGACAAAATATGGATATTTCAGGGGCTAAAAGTTTTATTCACCTTAAAATATAATATACTACTATATAATATATATTTTAAAAGAATATTAAAATTCTAAAATTTAAGTTTTACTTAAAAATACAATATAATTTTTTTATATAAACTCTTAATAAAATATGAAAAATTTACTATGATTGAAGAATTATGCTAATTTAATAAAAATTACTTAAAAAAACTACGTAAAAGATTATTTTTTATCTTAAAAATTAAATGGTTGAAATTTTGGATGAAAGAAATACACATATGTAAGTATAATGTTATCTTTTATATTTAAAATGAGTAATATTAAATTGATAATTTTTTTTAAAAAAATTGAATATTTTATTAAAAATTATAGTGATGCATATATGTTTTTAAAGATAACATAGTCAATTAAAAAGTTTCATAGATACTGATATATATATACATAGTAAATAAATAATTAAAAGAGATGTTAGGGGTAATTTGAAGATTTAAACATATAAGTATATGATGACAATTTATATATTCAAATATGGAAGGATAGTGTGGTATTTAAAATTTTTTATAAGAGTAAAATAGTGAATCAAAAAATTTTTATGCTAAGACAAAAGTTTTATTCTTTATTAGTACCATAGATGGAAAAAAAAACATATATATAGTCATAATGTTATCTATATATTTTAAAAAATATGATTTATTGATGAAGTTTTTGAACATTTTATTGAAAACTATAATGATACATATATTTTTTTAAGAGTAACATAGTCAATTAATTTTTTTATAGATATTGATATTTATACAAAAATAATAGAGAGGTAAAAGAAATGTTATAGGGTAAATTAGAGATTTAAATACATAAGGACGTAATTATAATTTAGATATTAAACTATAGAAAAATAATGTAGTAATTAAAATTCTTTATAAGGGTATAATAGAGAATTAAAAATTTTTCACTTAAAGTACTTTTATTAGTAGTATGAATAGTTGAATATATATGCTAGAGACAGTACCATGAGCTTGTGTTATACCATCAAACATAGACTTAGCAGTTTCATGTTCCTCAAAAATAACCTCTAAATCGGATTCCATGAAAGTGAGCAAAATTGACCAAGCTAATTTGTCGTTCTCTACGAATCTTTCGTAGGTGTTTCTAGCAGCCTCTTCGACTCTAATAGGTGATTCTTCTGGGTATGGTATATCAATGACATATTCAACTTTATTTTGAAATAATATGTGACAAATCCTACGTTTTCAAGTTGAATTATTAGTACCATTAAGTCTCTTAGTTTTGCTAAGTTCTACACTTGTAGCCTTTGATCCTATATTTGACAAATTAAAGAAAAATAAATTATTAGGTAAAATTAGTTAGAACTAACCCAATTTAACTTTGTTATTAAAGTGTAATTTTAAGAGTACTTCGAGTGGACTATTGTTCCAAAAATTTTGCTTGAATAAACAGCTTCCTTGATGTTGTCACAGATTTACTAGTCAGCAGTTGTCCACTTGCAGTCGAGTGAAACGTTGAATACTCCACAACGTGCAAGTCTTGATGACTTTTGGACATGAATTTATGGTGGCCTTGACTTTGCTTTTGGAATCTGATAGAAGCAAAAAGCTGGGCAATAAAATAATTGGCGGGGAGATTCTTATTTGTTTTGGGATCAGTAAAACAAGAATTGAAAAAATAGAAAATCAATACGATAAAAAATGATGGGAAAAGTTTTGATCGTTTGGTGATCGTCTGATGCTCTTATCCTAATATAGAAATAAATCGAACAGAATTTGATAAATTTGACAAATAACCTTTAAGAATTAAAAATTCTCTTTGACATAAAAGCAATAGAGTTGAAATTTTTCCTCAATGAGTTTTCTCACAAATTGAGTGTTTTCTTGGTGTGTTCTTTCTGTATGCAGAAAACCTTATTTATAAGAGATGATTCAACTAGCCATTATCATGCAGCAAAATATCCTCAACTCCCTAATATTTTTTCAACTCCATCAATATTTCCTCAACCTTTTGCAGTTAAAATATGCTAATCATACTCTAAGTAGGATTGACTAGTCTTTCATACGTGATGTGTCCCTCTAACCCAGTCATTTATACTGACCAGAAAAGATCCAATCGAAACATCTAATTATATCAATGCAATATATATATAATTAATATATAATAATTTGACAAAAAATATATTTATAATATATATTATGAATAATGCAATATTTAACCAACGGATTGAGGTTTTATATATTTTGGATTTGACCACTAACAGTTGTTTAATTAATATCGAGATATTTTAACCACATAGTCCAACAAATTCCAACTTTTTTATTTATCATATTATTTGAATTGGAATTCCAACTCTAACAGAGAACAAAGCGATGATGGGCCTCAGAATAAAGAAAGGTGAGAGGAATTGCGCAATGGAAACAAAGACATGGAAGTTGTTACTTGATTCCAAATGTGATGGTGATTTCATGATATAGTTGTGTGTGTATGCTTAAGAGAGGGAGAGTTGTACAGCTAAATTGAAGTAAAAACGTATTAGTATCGTGTCAATTTTTGTTACAATCAATCTCATTTATAATCTTATGCATTTGTACCATATGTTGGGAGTTTGTATCGATCTTTTTATTTGAAAGGTCTAATTAGAATATATGTTTATCAACTAATTCTATCTAAATTTCTTATTAGATTTATAAAACATATTTTAAATTGCCTAGTCTAATTAAAATTGGGGCCCCTCAAAAATTTTTAACCAACTATTGAAATTTGGTCAAATATCAATGCGTAATTAATAAATTTGAATTTGGTCCTAGCGATGGTGGAGTGTGTTGAACATAAGTTGGCATAAACCCAAAATAATACGAATTCGAGTATATAAAATTATAAATAAGTTTGATATAAATAAAATAAACTTTGACACGCATGATACAAATACGATACAAACGTGCAGAGAGCACGATTTATTGCCACTCTTAATTCAGTCCGGCTAATATTTTCTCAAGTCTTCCCACGAATCTATCTTTTTTCTTCCCTGAAATGACCCATTTCAAAAATTCATTGGCCAACCACTAAAGAGTGGGTGCTGAAGTGTTCGTCGCAAATTTTTAAGTGTTTTTAATTACCTCAGTCTTCGGTCTACACGCTCGAGGCGGCCTTAGGCATAGGCTGCTGAGTAAGGGTGTCAATCGTGTTGTTTCAGTTTTGTGTCGTATTATTTTTGATCGAATTATTTTTGTATTATATCACTTTCGGTACGTGTTGGGTTCGTGTCAATATTCGTGTTAATAAAAAATTATTTAATTTGACAATAACTAATATAATATTATTTAAAAAATTATAAATTTTTATTTTCTATCTAAAATACTCACTAAATAATTATTTTCAATCTATAGTACCCATTAATCGTGTTATTCGTATCGAACATTAATTTGACTCATTTATTACTCGTATCAACGAATTATATTATTTTCGAATTCGTATCAGATTCGGTTCAAGTCGAATTCGTGTTCAAGTCAAAAATTGACACCTCTGCTAAGGAGCTGCCTAAGTGCTTCCAATTGAGGTTCCTCAAATAAAATTTTAAGACCATTTAAAATTTTTTAGAGTCCCCAATTTTAATTAGTCTTGTACTTTTACGTACAAGTTAGGAATCAATAAAGAATGGACATGATATTAACAAGTTTGGGTCTAATTTTAGTAATGATAAATGGATGAAATTATTCTACCTTTCCTTCTTATTGGAGAACGTATTGACCAACACCAAAACAATAAATTCTGGTATGTAGTCCGGAAAAAAAAGGGTAAAAATCTAAAAAAAACTCTTGACATAACAACGTATTGATCTTTTCTGTAGCCTCTCTCAACTTTTAATCTCATCACAGTTAAACAATTTAGTAGATCTTTGACAAAATAAAACAAATTTGATAATGAGGGTATATATATTTACCATTAAGAAAGAATATTTATATCCTAAATCTATTTTTAATGATTTATTAGTGGTAACCCGTGAAAATTTAATGTGAATGATTTTAAAAGGGAGGTTGATGACTCTATTTGAAACAGTTGGATGAGTTAATTGAAGCTTGTTTTGTTTTATATCATAGATAATCTCTTGCCCAGATAGACTTGCGTACAGTGTAAAAGTCAAAATTTTCTAGTTTGTTTATGCAAATTGCTCCATAATCTAGCCTTTTTCTTTTAGATTACTGCCAAATATCAAAGGTAAGCGACATTACATAACAATGAGCCCTCTTTTGACTATGCTTTTTTATGTTCACTTGCCTTGTTTATCGTGGATTATCTCTGTTTTATCTTATACAATCACTCCAAACCTCTCTCTTAGTGATGGCAAGACCTTAATTTCAGAAGACGGAAGCTTTGAACTTGGTTTTTTCAGTCCGGGCAGTTCCAAGAACAGGTACTTGGGAATTTGGTACAAGAACATCCCCGTTAGAACTGTCGTTTGGGTGGCCAACAGACAAAGCCCAATCAAAGATTTGTCGGGCACATTGATGTTCAACAAAACAGGCAATCTTGTTCTTGTCAGTCACAAAGATGTTGTCGTTTGGTCATCGAATTCACTGAAACAAGTCCAGAATCCAGTAGCACAGCTATTAGATTCTGGAAATTTTATCATTAGAGAAGAGAGAGAAAGAAATTCAGACATTTTTGTCTGGCAGAGCTTTGATTATCCATCTGATACATTGTTACCAGGCATGAAGGTTGGATGTGACTTGAGAAATGGTCTCAACAGGCGGCTATCTTCATGGAAGAATTCCGAAGACCCTTCACCTGGAGAACTACCTTATGGGATAGAACATCCTCCATATCCTGAGGCAGTTATATGGAAGGGCTAAAAAAGTACAGTAGAAGTGGCCCCTGGAATGGCATTGGATACAGTGGTGCTCCTGGATTGAGGTCTAATCCGTTATTTCGGTTCAACATTAGCTACAATGAAGAGGAGGTATTCTATACATATCAGCTGAAAAATAAATCTGTAATCTCAAGGCTTGTTGTGAACCAAACCACCTCTGCACTAGAGCGCCCTGTTTGGATTGAATCTGATCAGATTTGGAAGCCATATTTCTCATGGCCACAAGATTATTGTGACGATTATGATCTATGTGGTGCCAATGGAATTTGTGACCTCGGTGCCTCCCCTGTTTGCCAATGTCTGCAAGGATTCAAGCCAAAATCACCAGAAAAATGGAAATCAATGGACTGGTCACAGGGATGCATACGCAACGAGCCACTGAATTGCCACAGTACCGAAGGCTTTCTTAAATTTGTCGGCTTGAAAGTGCCAGATACTGCTAATTGTTGGGTGAACCAAAGTATGAATCTTAATGAATGCAGGGACAAGTGCTTAAAGAATTGCTCTTGCATGGCTTATACAAACTTGGATATCAGAGAAAATGGTAGTGGTTGTGCAATTTGGATTGGTGATCTGATTGATATCAGACAATTCGCCACTGGCGGAGACAATTTGTACATAAGAATGCCGGCTTCAAGCTTAGGTATTTGTTTTTCTTTTGCTTTAGCTGCTGCTTGAAGAGCCTTTTACTAAATTTTATAAATTATCAGTCGATTTTGTCCTACATAAGTGTAACTGTTTGCTTCTAGAAGGGACAAACAATGGGACTACAGGGAAATCGGATCCTGGAGAAGCAAAAGATGGTACAAAATGGATCATACCCGTTTCTATTGTAGCCACCATTGGAGGAATTGCTGGGATACTTCTTGTCAGCTATCACATTTGAAAAGGCAAGACAAAAGGTAAAATCTTAAACTAATCGGATGCTGATTTCCATAGAACTTGTTGTGAAGTTATTTTGTGGAACTTCTTTCTTATTCTTGTAACTATATAAGAAAAGATGAAGAACTCTGTTTTACAGTGTTATTGTCTGAACAGGAGAGCTATTATGATTGCAGTGTAAAAATCTTTCAATGGTGGAAAATAAGGGAGAGGGCATACTACACTTAGAACTCCTTACTCTTGATTATGTAATTCGTAATTTTTGAGCTTTTAAGAAAAGAAATCCATTTTTTCACATATGGTTTTGACACAAATATTGCAATTGCCCATCTATATCCATACAGTACCTGTTGTTTACTTTATTTATTATTTTTTTTGTGGTGTTTCCTGTAATAAGTATTGTGCCATTGTTTATTTATACTGTAGCTGAAAATGGTCATAGCGAAGAGAGCCCAAGTGATCAAGGCTTGGATTTACCATCATTTGACTTGGCTACAATATCTATTGCTACTAATAACTTTTCAACAAACAATAAGCTTGGACAAGGTGGTTTTGGACCCGTTTACAAGGTAAGTTGCTTGCAACAAGCTAATGACTAGAGGATGTTAAAAAACACTAATTTATTCAAGAATATCTCTTTCCACAACTGCTCATTTTCAGGGGACTTTAGTAGATGGCCAAGAAATTGCTGTGAAGAGGCTTTCAAAAAGTTCTAGACAAGGATTGACGGAGTTCAAAAATGAAGTAATATTGATTGTCAAACTTCAGCACAGGTATCTCGTAAAGCTTCTTGGTTGTTGCAATCAAGGAGAAGAGAAAATGTTGATTTATGAAGACTTGCCCAATAGAAGCTTGGACTCCTATATTTTTGGTTTGAATCTCAAAAACTAACAAATTCAATTGGAATAGTGCATTTCTTGTTTTCATAAGTTTAATGCAACTAATTGGTTGTTATGAGGGAAGATACTAATTTGATATATGGAAAAAATTACCAGATGGAACAAGAGGAAAATTTTTAAATTGGCCAAAACACTTTCGCATCATATGTGGAATTGCTCGAGGGCTTCTCTATCTTCATCAAGATTCTAGATCGAGAATTATTCACAGAGATCTCAAAGCAAGTAATGTATTACTTGACAATGATTTGAATCCAAAAATATCAGATTTTGGGATGGCCAGAATTTTTTGGAGATCAAAGTGAAGAAAATACTAATAGAGTAGTTGGGACATAGTATGTCTACTTGACTATGAACCTTTTTTTTGTTCTTAGGAATACTATGATTTCTTTAACATGTTTAACTTTTGATGTTGCAATGCCGTGATTATATGGCACCAGAATATGCTATTTATGGGTTGTTCTTAGTAAAATCTGACGTCTTCAGTTTTGATGTTTTACTGCTGAAAATAATAAGTGGGAAGAAGAATAGAGGGTATCATTCAAACCACCACCACAATCTTATGGAATGTGTAAGTGTTGAGATTATGGTATTTTCATGCGTTCATAATGTACAATATTGAACCAAAAATGAGCTTAATTTGTTTTAGGCATGGAGATTGTGGACAGAAGAGAGGGCAACTGAATTGATCGATACATTAGTCGAGTACTCGTGCATTTATCCTGAGATATTCAGATCCATCCATGTGGGACTCTTGTGTGTGCAACAACAACCAGAGGATCGACTGAACATGTTTTCGGTGGTTCTAATGTTGAGCGGCGAGAGCGTATTGCCTCAGCCGAAGCAACCAGGTTTCTTGATAGAAGTACAAAATGAAGCTCATCCCTCATCAAGCAACAATGAACGTTGTTCAGCCAATGAGATGACTGTTACGTTGTTGGAGGCTCGTTAGCAGATTTCCATGCATGTGGTTCCGACATAATGGACAGATCAATAACGTTAAATGAGTAGTAGTTTGCTGTGTCAGTGTCTTTGAAAGTTAGTCATCTGTACAAATTAGTGTTCTCCCATTTCATGTACAGGAGGAAGGCAATCAGGCATCTTGAAATATTAGTGTATATGTGCAACCTACCAGACAAATCCATAAACATCTCTTGTAATTCTAAAAAAGAGTTTCAGAACCAACTAAGCAGCTCAATAACCGCACCACATTTAATAAAATTTTGCAGGAATGTTGACAATGATGCAAATTAAAATGACACAATCCAAAAATATGCACGACTCAAAATGACATCACACGAATTGATTCCCTTGGTTGGGACTCACCACCACAAGAGTTGGGACAGATATTTTAGATTTCATAGTCAATTTGGCTTGTAACGCTGAAAAGTCTAAACAGATTATTCCGTCTCGCAGACAAATTTTTCAAGTCTTTCGACTTTCATGAGTCTGTCTTTCTTCCTCTTTGAAAGTTTCATTTCAACCATTCGATCAACCACGGGAAAAGACGCTGTAGAAGTCTTTGTGATATTGCTTTCCCATGCCTTGAGGATGAGGGTATTGAAGCCCCAGCTCGAGTTGTCCAGTTCACTGGTTTAATTTCCTCCTGTTGTGGGATACTTGTGTGTTGTGTACAAGTTAAAAATGTGTGCCTTCTAACTCATTCCTGCCAATTTACACCCAAATATAGCCTTTTTCTTTCAACTTGCAAGGGACTATAAAAAGGTAGAGAACATTAAAGATCATCAAAATGAGCAGTCTTTTGTTTGTTCAACTTTATGTTTGCTTTTGTTGTTTATTATCGAAAACCTCTGCTTTAACTGATACCATCACTCCAACCTTATCTCTTAGTGACGGCAGGACCTTAGTTTCAAAACATGGAAAATTTGAACTGGGTTTTTTCAGTCCAGGCAGTTCCAAGAACCGGTACTTGGGAATTTGGCACAAGAATATCCCAGTTAGAACTTTTGTTTGGGTGGCCAACAGAGAAAGACCAATTAAAGATCTCTCCGGCACATTCATGGTCAACAACACGGGCAATCTTGGTCTTGTCAGTCACGATGGTGGTGTTTTTTGGTCATCAAATTCATCGAGACAAGTTCAGAATCCAGTGGCACAGCTGTTAGATTCTGGAAATCTTGTATTAAGAGAAGAGAAAGATATAAACTCGGAGGTATATGTGTGGCAAAGCTTTGATTATCCATCAGATACATTGTTACAAGGTATGAAGTTTGGATGGGACTTAAGGGTTGGTCTGAACAGGCGGCTATCTTCATGGAAGAATTCCGAAGACCCTTCACCTGGAGACCTAACTTATGGAATAGAACTTCATGAATATCCTGAGGCAGTTATGTGGAAGGGGTCAAAAAAACACTATCGAAGTGGCCCCTGGAATGGCCTTAGATTTAGTGGTGTACCTAACTTAAGGCCCAATCCCTTGTATAAATTCGATTTTTTCTCTAATGAGGAGGAGGTGTACTACACCTATCAGTTCACTAGTGAATCTATAATTTCAAGCCTTGTTTTGAACCAAACCACCTCCTTGGCGGAGCGCCATATATGGATGGAAGCTGAACAGATCTGGAAGATTACTTTATCAAGGCCGCAAGACGATTGTGACGATTATGGTGTTTGTGGCGCCAACGGAATATGCAACATCATTGCCACACCTGTTTGCCAATGTTTGATGGGATTCAAGCCAAAATCACCGGCCAGATGGAAGTTGATTGACACGTCGCAGGGATGCATACGTGATAAACCTTTGGACTGCAAAAGTGCAGAAGGCTTTAATAAATTTGTGAACTTAAAATTGCCAGATACTACTAATAGTTGGGTGAACAAAAGTATGAACCTTAGTGAATGCAGGGATAAGTGCTTAAAGGATTGCTCTTGCATGGCTTATACAAATTCGGATATTAGAGGAACTGGTAGTGGTTGTGCACTATGGTTTGGTGATCTGATTGATATCAGACAGTTCCCCACTGGCGGAGACGATCTGTATATAAGAATGTCTGCTTCAAGCTTAGGTATTTGTCTTTCTTCTATTTTTGCTGCTCATTGATGTGTTTTTTACTGAATTTTGTGTTTGATCAGTCGATTTTGTCCTATGTAAATGTGACTGTTTGCTTCCAGAAGGGACAAAGAATGTGACTACAGGGAAATCGGATCCTGGAGGAGCAAAAGGTGGTACAAAATGGATCATACCAGTTGTTATTGTAGCCACCATTGTAGTAATTTCTGGGATTCTAATCATGAGCTATTACACTTGGAAGGGCAGGACAGCAACAGAAGGTAAAATCTTAAACTACTCACATGCGCATTCCCAGAGAACTTGCAATGGAGTAAATTTATGGAATTTCTAATTCATATAGCCCTTTAAGAAAGCATGAAAAACTACGCTTTAGATTTATGTTCTGAACAGGGGAGCTTTTGTGATTGCAGTACAAATCTTGCTATGGTTGAAAATAAATGACTGGAATACGAATGAAAGAGGAACATTCAAATACAATTGCAATGATTCATCATGTCTCATTCCTATTAAATGGCACATTTTGGTACACATTGTCTTTGCTAAATTTTAATAGCATCCCTCTATTCTACTTTGAATCGGGAATCTGAGTTTTTTGAGGGCAATGAATAAACTGCAGAAATCATTAGTTGGAGGAAGTCAAATTCTTCTACCTATATCATACACCCTCTTTGCTTCCACCTTTATTTGGGCTCGCACGTGTTGTTCCACCCATAGTTCAGGACAGTAAATTCAAGGCTTAGCTCACCTTCAAAATCAACCAACAATGTGTACCATCATTTTTCTGACTATACTTTTGGTGTTTCTCAAGAGAGGATAGTAGGCTTGTGGCTTTTTCTTAATAGAGGATGACACAACTTCTACCATATTAACCTCTATTCTATACATGTCAATCAATTGAAAAACTAAGATAATCCAATTCTGGAGTGAACTTTTGTACTTGACAATGAGTAGCTTGCTGCGGAAAGTGTGGATGATCTCCTTGTAAATGGTTGCTGCATCCTTGTAGTCATTTCTGTCCCTCCACAAGCTATAAACTGTAGCTGCAACAGTTTTAAAATTATAGTTCATAGGGATTTCCCTTTCTATTGTACTGCTAAATTTTGCATTAACTAGTGCCAAGAAAGGGGCTGCCATGCTTCACCATTATTCTACAGAATTATGCTCCAAATACCACTTGTGAATGGACAGTCAAAGAAGAGATGTGAACGGCTTTCTTCCACATTCCTACAAAAAAACGCATGATGTCACCAGCTGCTGCATGTATTTCTTCACATGATCCTTAGTATGTAGCCTCTCTTTCGCTGCTAGCCATAATATGAAAATCGTTCAGGGTATAAACTGATGACAGTTTATAATAGAGGATGACAGTTGATGATCCTCTGTCATGTCAATTTCGCAGGCTTCCAAACAAATTATAGTGTAGTGTAGCTGATTGAAGGGACAAAAACCAGCACTTAAAACCAATTCCAAGTATCATTTTCATACAAGTATTTGAAATTGTGTTTTAATTTTAAGAATTAAATTAACCTATAGAAATTCAAATAGTACCCTTGGCATTGTAAAACTTCCAGTAGTTTTCTCATGATTCGATATATAAATTTGGATCATATCTATTATTTTGTTTTTTGGAGGGAAGAACATTCCTTGATCTTAGAAATTCATATTTTAGATATATGATTTAAGTCGAATACTATAATTTACAGATATATTTATTCAATACCATTCGTATACTTTATGTTATTTATTTTTATGGGTATTCCTTGTGAGCTTTGCTTGTACTAATGAGAATCAGCAGAAAACAGAGAAAGTGGTCATAGCGAAGAAGTTCCAGATGAAGACTTGGATTTACCCTCATTTGACTTGACTGCATTGTCTATTGCTACTGATAACTTTTCAGTAAATAACAAGCTTGGAGAAGGTGGATTTGGACCCGTTTACAAGGTAAGTTTGCAACATGCTAATAATGACTATATGTCATAAATAAGCACTAGATTTATTTGGGAATACCAAGCTGTCAACAATTGCTAATTTATAGGGTACTTTGGGGGATGGCCAAGAAATTGCTGTGAAAAGGCTTTCAAAGAGTTCTGGACAAGGAGTGATTGAGTTCAAAAATGAAGTAATATTGATTGCCAAACTTCAGCACCGAAATCTTGTAAAGCTTCTTGGGTATTGCAATCAAGGAGAGGAGAAAATGTTGGTTTATGAATACTTGTCTAACAAAAGCCTTGACACCTATATTTTTGGTTAGAACCTTAAAAAACTGACTTTAATCGGATTGGTGCATTTCTTGTTTTTATAGAATTTAATGCCTCTTGACTTCATGTTGTGAGCATTGAAGTCGGAGAAGAGACTAATTTGATAAATGAAAAAAATTACCAGATGAAACAAGAGGTAAACTGTTAAATTGGTCAAAGCGCTTTCACATCTTACGTGGAATTGCTCGGGGGCTTCTCTATCTTCATGAAGATTCAAGATTGAGAATTATTCACAGAGATCTCAAAGCAAGTAATGTGTTACTCGATAATGAGCTGAACCCGAAAATATCCGATTTCGGGATGGCTAGAATGTTTGGAGACCAAAGTGAAGGAAATACAAAAAGAGTGGTTGGAACATAGTATGTCTGCAAAGTTACAAACCCATTTTTGTTCTGTGACATACCATAATCTATTTACATGTGTTTGATTTTCAATGATGTGATGCAGTGGTTATATGGCGCCAGAATATGCTATTTATGGATTGTTCTCAATAAAATCTGATGTCTTCAGTTTTGGCGTTCTATTGCTGGAGATAATAAGTGGAAAGAAAAATAGAGGACACCATAATCTTATTGAACTCGTAAGTGTTGAGAATTTGATATTTATAGAGGTTCATTGTTGTAAAATATTGACTCACATAAATGAGCTTATTCTGTTATAGGCATGGAGATTGTGGACCGAAGAGAGGACACTTGAACTGATTGATACATCAGTGGAGGACTCGTGCATTTTACCTGAGATATTTAGATTCATCCATGTGGGTCTCTTGTGTGTGCAACAACTTCCACATGACCGACCGAACATGTTATTGGTGGTTATGATGTTGAGTGGTGAGAGTGCACTGCCTCATCCAAAACAGCCTGGTTTCTTGATAGAAGTACATAATGAAGCTCATCCCTCATCAAGCAAGAATGAATCATGTTCAGCCAATAAAATGACTGTTACATTGTTAGAGGCTCGTTAGCAGATTCCGATGTTGTTCGTACATAATAGACTGATGCATACCGTTGAAGGAATAATAGTTTGCTATTTCAGAGTTTGAAAGTTAGTCATTTGTACAAAACTACCCAAAAAATCCATTAACATCTCTTGTTATTCCATGTAAATGAAGGTTCTTCACTCAACATATGCATTCTTGTGGGGGTGGTTAAAATATCATATTAGATGGATGGGTGATTGTAGCAAGGTCCAAAGAATTAGTCAAGTTCAATACGCTTGGCCAAATTATTTACAATTTGTGGTCCTTTTAGTTCGATACCATTTTATGTTTTATGTTAACCACAAGTCTCATTTGACTCGTTATAAACTCCAAAACACCTCAATCAATTCGGTTGATCAAGTCATTGTCATGGATGTATAGTGCAGTGAATTATAGAGTTCTGCTATGTTGTATTGTGACTTAAATTTCTCGTGGAGTTTAAACTTTTTTTATATATTATTTTATATGTATCGTCTGATCTTATTTTATGACATCATAATTGATGCATCTCAGTACTCTGCAAGTCAGTTCTCTTCGCTCATAATTGGGGGGATGGAATCGTGAAGCGAAAGCCAATCCTCTCTCTTAGGAAAGATGAAGATGGAGAAACAAAGGCAATGAGCTTTTAATAAATGTATATTTTAAATACCATTTCTCGAGAATAAGGGTAGTTCATTAGTCGTGTAGTGTCAATATTTATTGTGTATTAGTTCAATTTATCTATCTATACTACTTTTAAAAGTGGTTTGACAAGAAAAACTTTTTTTTCCTATTTTAGCCTTGCAGAATTTTATAATATCTACTTTATCCCTATTCAAGAATTTACATATAATTATTGAAGGAATAAATTCATCTTTTGGCTTTTGAGTTTCTATTTTCTTCTTAAATAAATGTATAAACTATATACACATACACACACTACTCCTAAAAGACTACTAAACCCAAAAAAAAATTTTTGTCATCATTACTCTCAAACAATTGTATAAAGTCAGATTATTATTAGATTAATTACCCTAATTAAGTACGTAATATCATATTTAACCCAATGCCTATCCATCTTCTAATCAATTATTGGGGGATACATTTACTGCACTTATGACTGTTTGGATGTTACGTATGTACAAATTCACTCCTTAACCACTGATTAGTAATATAAATGCAATTTTTATCCTTTTTAGACCTTACAAATTCTTCAACCAAATTTTTAATTACAGTCTAATACATTGTATTTATGAAAAACCATCCCTTCTCTCATTCACCATTTGTCTATTGTACCCCAAAAGACGATGCATCGGATTTCTTTTACCTATTGATTCTTCCTCTACTTGATAATACTTTGAATCTATTGCATTGTTAGTACACCTAACCTTTTTAGTTGCACCCAATTCTCTTGTAAATCCTTTATGTCAAACTTATCATTCAAATTTGATGATAATGAGTAGTATTTTTCTATTTGGTGTTCTCAACACCCATGGAATAAGTTTTTGTTTTTTTGAGTTTGATTAATTCCAGAATATAAAGATAATAGATTTTGTTGAGTTAATGATAAAGGCGGTTGGGCCTTGATTTCCATGGGAGAGTATGCATGCTTTTATAATTGATTTATTCCATAGTCAATAACCAGAAAATTGGTTAATGTATGAAGCTTCTTTTTTTTTTTTTGGTCATCGTTGAGAGAAATGTAGTGGGACTTTCACAAAGATATATGCGGGATAGTGTACTTCTTGATTTCATGCCTTCTGGTAGTTTGATGTGTGTGGGATTATTGGATGATATGGAGCAAGAGCAAGTTAGCATTGATTTTGTCCTGAGTTAGTGGTGGAATGCTTGAACTCTTGGGGCTATTACAGATTATCATGATAACACTTTGTTCCCATCTATGGTAGGCTATGAATTACTGCACTAGTATAACCTGATTAATTTATACTACTGCTCTGGTTTGATTATATGTTTGACATGTTTATCAAGAATTTTTTTATTATTTGCGTTTTCTTGTGATTTTAGTTCAAGGCTGTTACTCAGAATTTTACAAAAAAATATTTTGAATAATTACAAAAAAATTTCCCACTCTCCATTGGTGATCAAAGTTCATCCAATGTACTTATTTTTATATGTAGAATTTCTTCCTTCTGTTTTTTTTTTTTTTTTTGTGTTATAAAATAATAATGCAGGTTCCATCAATGAATTTTTTGCTTTACAAATCCTAAATCTTCTCACTACCAAGAAGGCCAACACTGCCCAAGGATTCTTAGTAAGCAAAAAATATTCATGATTGCATGGTCACTTTGGCCTATTGTTTAGATTGATATTATATTGCTCATACAGGGTTTGTTTTGTAATTGTTTGTTTGGAATAAAAATATATTATTTCTTCATCTTTCGAGACGGCTAGAAATTGCAATTGAGAAAAGCCCAATGAGTGTGAGCTAGACCCAAACAGGCCAAATCAAGGTCCAAAAGAAGCAGCACATGGGTGTGCCAAACACACTCCTTTCCATTCCCAGTCTGAACGGCGACATGGTTATTGTTACCCAATTGCCAGAGTTACCCTGACTCCAACTGGAAGCTTGAGACACGAACCAAGAAAAAACTACCAGTCACTGAAATGATGCAAAGGTCATGTTCTCAAGCCCAAGAAGTCGTTAAATATAACAATGTTGTGATGGTAAGCTTGAAAGGTCTGTAGAATTTGTTAGGGAGATGGAGAGACTACCACATGCAAGAGGAATAGTGGAAGATTATTGAAGAAGACATAAGAGAGAGCTAGCTTTGTCAAGATTATCTGAAATAGAATCTGTTGGCTCTATACAAGTTGTAGAACTATCTATCTTTCTATCATATCTCTTCATATCATCAAGTAGTCAACGTGACGACTATCATGTTTGCGCGAAATGAACTTTCCTCAAAGCATTGGGCCTGTTTTACTCTTTTTCTCAAATACCAATTGCTAATGGGTAACTCCTCCATATGAAACCAAGACTTATATGCAAAAGGGGAGACGATCCTCTTCTGATATGAGACAAGTCCGGTGGGCGAAAGAGGAGTACAGGCTACTGATGATTAACCCTAAATAACTCTCAAGAGGGGCGAAGTCAGGTCAGCCAAAATCCTTCCGTGGGGGAGGACATCCTGAACGCGGAGATAAATCCCTACACCAATTTATTTTTCAATTGTGTTATTTAATTTGCGACATGTTTCTGTTATTCAATACCATCAGAAGAAAATGTACGTTAGCTTTTTATGGAATAGTCTTGAGTTTTGTCTACTTTTATCTCAATGAAAGACATCATGTTTTTGCATTATTCACAAAGTGGCTAATATTAACTTAACTATAACCCAAAATTATTCATGTGCAATGCATGTGCACACAAATTATTAATTACTTCTAAATGTCCCTATAAGTGAAAAACTTTTGATTACCATTTTTATTCTCAAACAATTCTAAAAAGTCATCTTTGTTAAATCATTTATGCTACAATAGAAAACTAACAATCACAAGTACACCTGATGCGCATAATCTTAGTCCTTAACAATCACAAATACAACTGATACGCATAATCTTAGGCCTAAAGTCTTATGGATTTAAAAATTTTGATTTGGACTAATTATATACTTAAAAAATTTGGAGCCTTCTTTGAATATGACTTTGTTGGCCTTGTGATAGGGCCACGGACTACATCACTTTGAACCCTCTATTCCCGAATGCAAACACTTAACTGCTATCAAAACTCCCTTATACAACATAATAAATAAATAAATAATGAGACAAAGTAGGAGAAAATTTTTGTAGAATCTGATCGGAGTTGGAGTCTAAAGGCTTATTTGACTCTTTTTCTAGAACGGCAATGAAGGGGCAATAGCGAGAAGTCTTTTCAGGCTGCCTTCATTATTGCTCCCAAAATTTCCTATTCGAAGCGACGAGCATCCCTATGCACTTGTGGGATTTTAATGCAATTTCAATGGATTTTTTTTTTTGGCTAAATCGCATATTCTTGAACAAGCTCCAACAAAAGATCGTTGTTGTTTCTTCGTCTTCGTTAATGGCTGGTCCTTCTTGTCCTCATTATCGTCATCAAAGGATATTGGGAGAGTTTTTTTTTGTGGTTCTGCATTTTATTTCTATGTTAGATTGACTTTGGCTTTAATTAAATATATGTTTTTTGTTTTGTTACTGAATCTGCACGAAATCTTTGTTTGTAAAACTCAATGTAACTTCCTCATTGTTCTATGATGTATTGGTACAATTTGTCACATATCTATGATGTATTGGCATCACGATTTTCCTTCTAAGACTTTTCCATACTTGACTTGGTAATAGAACAATACTATTTCCTTGCGCACTCCCTATTTCAACATTTTTTTCTTGTAAATATTACTCTTATCTACAAAGATTTGTCAAGCATTAAACCAAATAGAGGATTATTTCACTGTATTTTATATTCATGGAAAAAAAAAAGCTTTATTATGCATGATTGTGGATATTTCATCCGATAAAATTTTTGGATATTTTGGTTATCACATAATTTTTGAGTTGCAAATAAAACTAAAATTATAACATTACATGATCCATGTGCATCAACTAGTAATCTTAAATATTTGTATTAGTGTCTTAAAACTCGACCCAGTCCGACAGTTTGACTCAAGAATCTAGTGAATTGGACCATAAACTAGGCGATTTATAAGATTGTTTAAACATTAAGAGTGAATAACACTTTGTATCCTAAAAGATTTTAAAATTTTTATTTTATACTCGTAAAAGATTAAATTTCTTACAGCGTATTCTTAATGTATTAAAAGTATTACAAGGTGATATTTCTGTTTGTTTTTTGTCAATGTTAATAGGGTGATTTTTGACGAAAAACATAACACAAGTTAATAGAAGAGTCACATTATAACATTTTTTATATATTAAGAGTGCAATATAAAAAATTTTGTTTTTAAGGATATAAAATGAGAATTTTGAAGTATTTAGGGTTCAAATTACTAAAAGCCCAAACATTAAACCTTCCCTAGACCGTTCAAACCGGACGGGTCATCTAAAGACCTACAAAATTAAAAAACTTTTGGGCTTTTTGCTCTAATAGCTAATCCTATCTACCACTCTATCTCATCCTCTCTCTGTCTCTCTCTCTCTGCACTCTCAGACTCTCTGTCTCAACAGTCACCACCACCATCATTGCTCTGTTCATGGTTTGTCGCTGGCTTGATCGAAAAAGGGCAAACGATTTTGCTTCAAAGGTTTTGCAT